ATTAAATCAGTAACCCATGTTTATTGCAGCACTATTCACAGTAGCAAAGATATGAATTCAGCTTAAATGTTCATCTACAGGTGAATGGATTAAAAAATGTGAGACACACACACATGCAAATATAGTATATAATATATACTATGGAATGCTATTTAGCCATAAAACAGAATGAAATGTTGTCTTTTGTGGCAACATGGATGAACCTGGAGGACATTATGTTAAGTGAAATAAAACAGTCACAGAAGGACAAATACCACATAATTTCACATGAATTTATAATCTGAAAAAAATTTATCTTATAGAATTAGGTAGTATAATAGTGGTTACCAGAGGCTGGAGAGGGTTAAGGGGAACACGAAAGATTGGTTAATGAGTAAAAAGTTATAGTTAGACGGGAGAATAAGTTTTGGTGTTCCATTACACAGTAGGGAGACTGTAACAAATAACAATGTAGTGTATATTTTAGGAAAGCAGGAAGAGAAGATTTTGAATGTTGTCACTGTAAAGAAATGATAAATGTTTAAAATGATGGATATGGTAATTACCCCAACTTCATTATTATACTATGTAGACATGTATTGAAACATCACATTGTACCCTAAAGTTATGCACAATTATTTTGTGTCAATTATAATAAAAAATAAACTTAAAAAGATGTTATACATTTAAAGAGCTTATCCCAGTCTGGCATAAATGGAGAACTCGATGCCTTTTACTGCTCTTATTGAGATAGTTTGTGGAATAAATTATTTTAGACAGCAGCTTATAAATCACTTTTTAAAATTTCAGAATATTAAGAGGGTACATATGCTTTGGTTATACAAATTACTTTTGTACAATTTGAGTCAAAGTTATAAGTGTGCCCAAAACCCAAATAAATCACTTTCATATATCCTTTTCTCACTGATACTTGAAAAAATACTGTTAGATAGAAAAGGCAAGAATTTTTATCTCCATTTTTAAAATAAGAACACTGAAGCCCAGGAAGGTTAGGATGGGAGGACTACTCAAGTTCACACAGCCAGTAAGGAGTGAATACTAGGACTTAAAGCCAAGTTTTCTGGCTGTAAGTTTATATTTCTTCTAATGTTGCTCTAAACTGTATTATCTTTTTAAATATTTTTGTAAATATTGTGTTCATTAACTACACATGTAAAAACATGAATTAGCAAAGGCTAAAGATGATTTGGGATGAATGGTATAGTAATGATACTGATAGTGATAGCAGAATTATGCAGAATATCTTCTTGCCTGCCAGCCATGCTCCCCCACAAAACAAAAACAGTGAGAAAAATGTTGACTCCCAGTTAGAAGAATCATCCCTGTTAGGACAGAGAGGCCATTGCTAGGGTATCATGCTTCAGCTGGTGGAAGTGTATATCAATTGTTGAATACTTATGTAGGTAGAAACAAATCATTTCCTGATTATTGGATGTAGTTACTCAAACCTTTAAAGCTCGAAAATGCTTTATTCTGGCTATCTAGGCTCCTAATTTGCATTTTCTCATTTTAAAATTGATGCCTATCAGATTGCTCTTGCTGTGTTTTTCTATGCTATATCTATTTATTTTCTCTGTTCATTTTTAGTTCCAAAATCACTGTAAGACATCATTTTACAGCCTTAAGTTGTTATCTAACTAATAGATTATTAAAGAAATTGGTTATCCCAAGAACCTATACAAATTAATGTTTGTTGCCTTCCACTGGACTAACTTTACAGAGTGTTTATCCTGAGATAAATGTTTGGGTTACTGATCATGTACTGTTGATGAGCTATACTCTATTTCTAAACTTTATGAACATAAAATAAACAACTTAAAATATATTGTTAGTTCAAAATATTTTCTAGTTTCTATTTTCATTTCTTCATGGGTTATTTAGACATATACTATTTAGTTTCCAAATATTTGGACATTTTCCAGAGATCTCTTTGTTTTTGATTTCTAATTTAATTCAGCCATGATCAGGGAATATATTTTCTAAGAGTTAAATCATTTCAATTTTTTAAGAATATTTTTATGGCCCAGAATATGGCATATCTCAGTAAATGTTTTATATGTGCCTGAAAATAATGTGAATTTTATTGTTACTTGGTGAATTATTCTCTAAATGTCAAGTAAGTCAAGTTGGTTGATAGTGTTAAGTCTTCTATATCAATGCTACTTTCTGTCACTTTTAAAATCAATTATTGATAGAATGGTATTGAAATCTCCAACTATAATTGTAAATTTGATTATTTTTCTTTATAGTTCTTTCAGAGTTTTATGTATTTTGAAACTCTGCTGTTAGACGTATAAACATATTAGATTTTATGTTCTCTTGGTGAACTGACCTTTATTATGAAATGAATCACTTTATCCCTGGTAATATTCTTTTCTCTGAAATATATTTTGTCTGGTATTACAAGTCATGCTAGCTTTATTTTAATTAGTATTTACTTTGTGTACCTTTTACTATACTTTTTTTTTATTTTGTGAAATAACATACAGTGAAAGTAATTTTTCTTAGGGTATATTTTTATGAGTTTTAGCAAATAAATTGTTTCATTTAATTGTCACAATTATGACATAGAGCCACACCATGACCTCAATATACTTCCTCTTATTCCCTGGTAGTCACATCTACCCCAATCTCAAAAGTCTGGAAACTACTGACATGTTTTGTTTTCTGCCACTATTTATTTGCTTTTTAGAAAATCTTATATACATGGCATCATATAGTTGTTACCTTTTGAGACTGGCTCTTAAAAATAAAGTCTGTGTTAGAGATCCATTAACTTTTTCATGTGCATCAATAGTATGTTCCTTTTAACTGCTGAGCAGAAATTCCATGGGATGGAACTTAATGGGATCTCTTCTCCATGCTCCTCCACTTTGACCATCTCCCAGATACTTTCCAGTTGCTGAGATCCTTTTTTGTTTCTTTGGCCTGAAAGCTGGAGCTTTATTTCCCCTGAAATTCTACACACTTATCATGAGTACATCCATATCTTGGTCTAAGGCCATGCAGAGAGAAATAAGGTTGGATATTCACCAGTAGCAAAGGGGCTATTACAGCTCCTCTGTTCAAAGAGAAAGTTTCCTTTTCCTCAGAGTTTTAGCTGTTTGCCATCCCTACTGTCACCGCTGACACTGTAACTGCTACCATTGACTTGGAATTCCCTAAGGATTGGGGCTCAAGAGAAGAGAGAGAAAAAAGAAAAAATAGTAGATTTTCTCTGTCCTCTTTGAGCCTTAAGAATTCCCCTTTCTTCTCTTCAGGCCAGAAGCGAGGGCTACTCCTGGAGGATTCTCTTTCTGTAGTCAAGTGACTGATTCCAGGTTATATGATGCCCTAAATCCAGGTGGGGTATACTGGGGAAAATAATTAGAAGTCAGGTGGGAACCCATTATCAGTTTGATGGGTATTTTGTATTTTGACTTTCTTTCCCAATTCGTCTGCTGTCATGAACATGTGTTTTTCATTTACTTTAAAGTTTGTTGAGATGGCAGCAGAGCAGCATTTATTCTAGAGGAAACATTTCCCCAGTGCTGAGGCAAAATCATTTTGAGTGCTCTTCCTAAAGCCTCAGCATTATAAGGTCTCCACTCTTAGAGTTTGTATAGAAACTATTCCTGGCCCTTTGTATGCCTTGAAGAGTATTCCCTGTGCTCCTGTTGGGAGATTCTTTCTCTAAACAGGCGTGTTTGTCACCTAAATACTTGAGGGGGTCTGTTTTCAGATCTCTAGAGTCCTCTAATTCTCCTTGTGTATTCTGCCCAAGTTGCCTTGGCCTCTCCAGACACAGATCCAGAAGAATGCTGAGTTCTTTCTACTACACATATCACATAGAAGAAAACAATCCTTTTTTTAAACAAGTTTTGTACTTTAATCTTTTAGTGGAGTATGCACATATTAAAAGAAAGGGGAGAGGGTTATTCTCCTCCCCAATTCTCATCTGCCTTCTATGTATCTACTTTTTGCTTTCACTCTTATTATGAGACTTTTCCCCTATTTAAACTCTAAGAAGACCCTCAAAGATAATCTGCATGCTCCAAATGTATCCTTTCATTGGCAAATCATTTTCTTCCATGAAATTTGTACTCACTTATCTTGTCAGATTACCACTCCTCATAACTCTGTCTGGCATCTCTAGGCAATAAGTTGTAATGATCTTATGACATACCTAATTGTTTCTTATCTTTTGCAGATTCTCTTTGATTTTTTTTATTAAATCATAGTGGGGTACATTAATACAGTCATGGGGTACAGTGTGCTGGTTCTATATACAATCTGAAATATTTTCATCAAACTGGTTAACATAGCCTTCATGTCATTTTCTTAGTTATTGTATTAAGACATTATATCCTTCTTTGATCTTTTAAAACGATTTCTAAATATATTTTGCCTGGTTTTAAGGTGTTTCATGAGGTAATGTAAACCTAGTCTTTCTTACAGGAAAGGGAAATTTATAAGATATAATTTAATTTTAAATTATGAACTCCAGACTAAAGGTGTCTGATTATTTTAGAGGAGATTTGGTTAGAGATAACTTTGTAAAAAAGGTTAGATTTAAATTAGCCTTTTAAGGAGTGGAGGATATTCCAGGTGAAATATAATGGCATAAATAAAAGTACTGAAAAGGAGTAAACCTAGGTCTTTACCAGAGAAAGTTTGGAGAACAACTTGATAAGATGGGTAATAGTACATAGGGAACTAGTAAAATATAAGATGGAATAATTGGGTTAGGGCCAGATTAGAGAAGTCTTTGAAAATCAAGAGTTCTGACATAATGCAGTGATACGAAGCCATCATAAGTTTTTAAATTCTAAGCACTGTTATTTAATGAGAGCAGAGTTTAATATCAATATAAACATTTATGTCCAACCTACATATTTCTTTCAACTTACATGCATCTAGTCCTTTTCTGTCCTCTGAATAAAATGAAGAACAGCCCCATAAAAATATGGTTGGTATTGTTTTGATCCAATATTTTACATTTGCTTAAAGATTGAAGTAAAAAGACTATACTTTCAAGGATCATTTCTATAGTTCATTACTAGAGAAGTCTCTCTGAATGTGTAGAGCACTGGAAACCATGAGGAGGAGGTGCAGTGTTCTCTCCTGAGCGTGAAGTTGGCTCTTGGTGTTGCTTTAGTGCAATTGCCATTTGCCATTGATGAACGCGGAAAAAAAAAAAAAAAGAGATTGAAGTAAAACCATTTCTTAATCTCCGTTTCTTTATTTTCTTAATCTTATTTTGTAGAACTTATTTTCCAATTAATAATTTTTATTTTTCTTTTTAGGATAGATTTCTTTTTTCTACTTCCTTTTCAAAATTACAATGATCAAAAATATACATAATATGCTAGTAAGTTCTTTTTAATGCAGAATTTAATGGGAAGATTTGCGTACCAGTTTCCCTTTTAATACATGGTATCAATGCAGCTTTTTTCACAATAGTTTTACATTTCCTTTAAAAGCTATTGACATCTAACAAACTTTTATATAAATTATTTGTAGTTTATCTTGTTTCTATAGTATAACCCTATAAGGTCCATTCATTTTCTTTTATTTTTATATACTCATTTAAAAATTTGTCAAACCCATTTAATATGTCTCGGTTATTAAGGGTTAAGTACCTCCCTCCATTTAATAACATTGAAGTTTTGTCCCATTGAGTTAGTTTAATAAAGGGAAGAGAAACACATGTTGTTAATGATCTTTTTCCCCTCTAAGCAATATGGAGAAGAACAACAACAGCAAAAAGATATTGGGTGATGTATAGAAAGAAGGGTTAACTTAAATTGAGGCCAAACAAGCTCCTCTTAAACTTAAGGCCCAGAAGAAATACAGAAAGATAAGCATTAAGACTAAAAGAAAATGAGTTTGAATCAGTAGAAACAGTTTTAAGAACACTCTAAATTCTAATTGGAAGCTGGGCAATTTGCATAAAGCAGAGCTGTATGGGCATGTAGTAGACTAGTATATGGAAACAGATGATAACATTTATAGAAATCTGACAAGATGAGTGAGTACAAGTTTCATGGAAGAAAATGATTTGCCAATGAAAGGATACATTTTGAGCATAAAGATTATCTTTGAGGGTCTTCCTAGAGTTTAAATAGTGGAAAAGACTTATAACAAGAGTGAAAGCAGAAAGTAGATACATAGAAGGCAGAGGAGAATTGTGGAGGAGAATTACCCTCTCCCCTTTCTTTTTATATGTGCTATGAAGTATAGCGTATAAATGTTTTACCACAACAAATAAGTAAGCGAGGAGATGGTTATGTTAATCAGTTTGATGTAAGCATTCCACATTGTGTATCAAATAAGCACATTGTACTCCACAAATGCATTAATGTGCATAGTTTAATAAAGGAAAAATATATAATATGTGCATTCTCCACTAGACGATTAGAATATGAAATTTACTTAGAGAAATGACTGCTTTCTTCTACGTGATGTGTGTAGTAGAAGGAACTTTTCAGACAGACCTGGAACTTCCAGGAAAAAACATACACATAAGATATTTAGAATCTGGATGAAAACAATCTGAGTTGACAAATCTCATTTGGGTAAAGATTGGAATAATCTGGAATTCCGCTGACAAACGTGGAATTGGTTAGAGGGATTACTAATTTATCCATATGGAAATAAAAGTTATGAAATGTATAGAAAAGGAAACTACATGTGGTGAAAATAAATGCAAAACACCAGTGTCTCCAGAAAAGGAGACAGTTTGCCAAAGGTAAACAGGTTAAGCTTAGAGTAGAAGATACACAGAATGTGATAAAAGTTACTCTGTGTCACCTCAGCTTCTTTTCTTTTGGAACACTTGATTATGCTGAGAAAGTTTAAAGGATTTTTAAAATGATAGTGTAAGGTGAAGCAAAATGACCAAATTTGTGAAAAGGGTAAAGACTCCTAGTGTCTTAGCTGAACTGAGCTGTCCAGATTTTGAGGATTGAGTACACACCTCACAGGCAGTTTTGGTGGAATGTGGACTAAATGAGAAATGACACAGTTAACAGTACAAGATGCATTAGCCATGCCTTTTTTAAAAAGGAAAAAGAAGTAATGAATAGTGGGTATGGAGCCTACTGACATTATTCAATTCCAGATCTAAAATATTTTCAGGAATATTTTAAATACAGGAGGGCTAGCAAATAACCCAGGAAAGTTTTGTGTTTGTTTTTGTTTTCATAGTGGAAGAAAATAACTGATTGGCTATGTGTACAATCATTGCCTTTGACTAAATAAGCCATGATTGCTTTTCACAGTTACTGTCTACATCTATGTTAGAAAAGAAGATTCAAAAATTATTTGATGATACTAGGTTTAGCTGGCAGAAGTAAAAAATAAATATTTGTTGAATAAAAATAAAGTAAGGAGACACATAGCACGTACATAGGCTCTTTGCATTAGTAAGAACCTTGATCTCTCTTATTTGGCAGTAACCAAGGTATGATTTTCTCCCAAGAAAGTCCACAGACTTTAACTTACCATTAACTATCAAAATGTTAAAAATACTTATTCTTAAAAGCAACAATCCCATTTCTAAGAATATTTCCCACTGATACACTTATGCAATTCAGTATATGTACAAGGAGATGCATTGCCACATTGTATGGAATTGCAAAAGTTGAGAGACAACCTAAGTATTCAGCCAAGAGGGAATGGATAAATAATTTATGGTATGCCCCCACTATGGATTACTATGCATCTGCTAAAAAGAATGAAGTAAATCTGTGTGCACTGAGATAGAAGCCTGTCCATGTTATCTGTTCAAGTGAATTTTAAAATGTACAGTAGTAATCGATTTTACAAGTGTAATATAATTAAGTTCATGAACTCATCCTAGAAAAAGTGCTACATACCTCATTGCTGAATATCACTATAGTCACCTTAGAAGTGATCCCCTTGAGAAGCTCTGAAGCAATGCTAGTGTGTAGTGCACCCTTCAAAGTAATTTTGGAATCCTTTTTCTGGAGTGGCCATCAGAACTGTCATTGTACAAGGTCTGACATTAAGTTCCTGAACACATCCTAGAAAAAAATGCTACCTACCTAATTTCAGAATGTTGCTACACCTTTGAAGTACTCCTGCTAGGAAGCTATGCGCTAACACCAGCACCTAGTCCACCCTTCAAAGCACTTTTTCTAGGATGAGTTCAAAATCTTAATCGTCAGACCCTGCGTAATGACAACTCTGATGGGATTCCAGAAAAAATTCCAAAATTGCTTTGAAGGGTGGACTAATCACTGGCATTGGTTCATAACTTCCTAGAGGGATTAGTTTGAGGGTGACTGCAGTGATATTCAGTAATGAATTATGTAGCACTTTTTCTATGGTGAGTTCGGGAACTTAATTGTCCAACCTTGTATATATAGAATGAAGTTTAAAGTATGTATACTAAACCATCAACAGTAGTTACTTTTAGCAAGTAGAAGTGATGACCTTTTGGATTTCCACTGAAATCCATTTGTATTTTGACATCAAATCCACTCCAAGCATGTATTTATTTTTTCCTGAAATTTATTAGAAAAAGAAAAAGCCAAACCATTGGGAGCCAACCTTTTCTCTTCAACTCCTGGCTTGGTTCCTTTCTTTTTACTTTAACCTTTACCATCTACCACAAACAAGTACTTTAAGCATGGCTTATTTTAGTATTTGGAGAGATTTCACAACTAATTTCCTGGTTTCTAGTTGTCATAAAATCGAAGTTCTGCCCAAAGTGACTTTAAAATATTAAATAGTAACTTCTGGGTAAAATCTGGTTTATTTGTTGATGTATTAATTGAACATTTATTAAGTCCCAACAGTATGCCAAATGCTGGAGAATTAAAGAATCCTACTCCATCTGTACCAGCTGATGGCGCTCTTTTTCTTTATGGCTCGACTATCATCTCTCCTACCGCAAGGTCCTCATTCAATACTTTCCAATACACATCTACTTTTGATTCCCACAAACTTATTGCAATTTAGACTCATATATGAATTTTAAAAGAGCAATTTCTCTGGGGTGGTGGGTTCAGGCTCGAACCTGGCCAAAACTGCAAAAAAAAAAAAAAAAAAGAGAGAGATAAAGGTAGAGTGGAGTCTGACCAGGAGCCAGCTATTCTCACAGTTTCAAGAGGCTTTTGTTGCCCCTAATCTGAAGGTCGAATGTAAGAGGGGGTTGCTAGAGGGTATTATCTTCTGCAGAGGGACTGATTTTTGCCCTAAGGCCCAATAGTTACTATAGTTACACCCCCAGGTAGAAAGTTACTGTTCTGTTGTTTCTCCGGAACAGTGGCCTTGAAGCATTTTAGGGGGTGGGTAGGGGGTTCCCTGTGATCCTACAGTTTGGTCTTTGGCCTGCTTTCTCTCACCAGCTGTTTCCCAAAATGGCTGCACTCTTGTCAGTGTCATGAGAATTCCTTCCCACAGTCACTGCACTCTGGCCCAGACAACCCAGCAAGACCCTGTCACAGAAAATAATTCCTGTTGACTGTGTCTTCTCCAGCCCTTGGTATCATGAAGACATCTTAAATTCTGCCAGTCTAATAAAGATAATATGATAACTCAGTGTGGTTTTGATTTGCATTTTACCATACTAATACGGAAAAAAAGGGAGCAATTTCTTTCCTTCATGTGACTGTTCCCCTAACATTGACATCACTTTTTACACAACAAGCTATTACTCTTTCCTTCTACTTTTCTGAATAACAGGGACAGCAGATAAATTAGCAACAGAAAATAAAAATAGTTATGCTATATAACGTATATTATAATGTTTGTGAAGGAAAAAGAGCATTTGTTAATGATTTGATATTTTTGACCAAAAACATATGTCACTTGTTGGGGAAAGAAAAATATGATACATAATTTTATTCTAAAGTAAAAATATAATGTGTAAATATTTTGGAATAAAAATGTTCATCTGACAATTAATGACCTAGTACACGGTGAAGGGTGGGGAAGGAGAGAACAGAGAGAGGGAAGGAGGGAGGGAAGTGGGGTAAGGGGAGAGTAGAGAGAGGGAAGGAGAGAGGGAGGTGGGGGAAGGGAAGAGCAGAGAGAGAGAAGGAAGGAGCCGGGTGTGGAGGAAGGGGAGAGCAGAGAGAGGGAAGAAGTGGGGATGAGGGTGAGTGACTATGTGTGACACACCTTTTGGGGATGGGACACAATTATAAGAGGGACTTTACCTAACAAATGCAATCAGTGTAACCTGGTTCTTTGTACCCTC